AAAGAAATAAAATACTTTAATCAGACAGCAAAAATGTATTTCTAAGCTCTACTTGTATGTTAGATCAATAATTTTTAGATTAATAAAATAAATATGATTTTTTAAAAATGAATATATTTAGCAAATAATTTAAATTTATTTCTCCTGAAAGTAGCTAATATTTGTTTTTATTTTTTTATTTCTTTCAATTGAAAAAAATATATATTTAAAATTTGAAAAGAACAATTGAAAGATGTTACCAGATGACAGCTATAAGACAAATGTTCTACTTGTCTCTCTCATGTTTGTCCTTTGTATAATTTCGTTAAAATATATAGAATTAGCAAAATATTTTGCTTAAAAATAACATTAATCTTCGTAACGATAATAAAATCTTAATTATCGAAAACAATATTAAACTATATAATTATGCTAATAATCTCATTTTCTTGGTGAACAAATATTTTCTCACGAGAATCGAATTGGGTTTGTCTTCATAAAATAAATGTTTTCTTTTCTTTTCTTTTCTTGTTTTTAATTTATAAAATAAAAAAAAGTTAAAAAGTGGAAGGGAAAAAGAAAATAGAGAAACGTAATATGGCAAAATATGGGCTGTCTTATATTGACGTGGCACCCAGCGTACACATTAGTCTCTGAGGTAAACGCTGAAGCCCCAAACACCATCAGAAAAGTAGAAGCGAGTGACGTACGCACCCCCCCGCGCACTTGTTTTATCCCCCCTTACAATACCCGTAGAATATTTTCATTTATTTACTTGTTGTGTGTCATTAATTAATTTTATAGCAGCATTTAAGTTTAATAAAGTTCAAATTGCTTAAAGATGGTATAAAATTTAAAAAGAACACTGAAAAAAAGAGTATAAAAACAGAGAAAAAAAAAATTAAGGGGCATTTTCTTTTTCAGATTAAAAAAGTACAAAACAGAGTAAATGAGTAGGTGGTGGAGGTGGCGGTAATGGTGGTGAGCTAGCTATGGAATGACAGTGGGTGAGTTTGATGGGTGGGTCAGGCACAGCTAGCTACATGGAGGGGAGGCTCGGTGCTCGACAACCAGCCATTGGGTGGTTGCAGCTATATCTGCACTACTGATGGACACATCTGCCTTGGTTGCACCAAAAGTTTTATGCTTGTACATACATACATACACATATATATATATATATTAATTGTGATGTGTGTATGCAGCATATATATATGTCTTCCCATTTCTCAGAAGATAACGAGTATCGTCCATCTACAGCCACATAACCTTCTTTCACGCCACCACGCTGTTACCATCTTTCTCATCCTCATTATCACCATAGCCGTCGTTTACACTGCTGCTGCTGTTACAGCTGCCGCTCCCACAACTCACCGCATATTCCTCAGATTCGTTTCCATTCTCTAATGGGTGGTCAGTGGGATTCGAAGGTAGCTGCTGCTGTTGCTTCTGACCAACGATCGGAAGCGGCTCGCTCAGTTGCCTCCCATCTCGAGGTGGTGCAAACACTACTGGCAGGTAGTGCTCCATTTCACATGGGAACTTTGAGTTCTTAAAATGCTCCTTCAATGCTTCCAATCCCTTTTTCCATTTCAATTTTTTTAAATAACTTCAGACTTAAACAAGTATTATTATTCATGATTGATATTCTGTCAAAAATAAAATAAAGAAAAACTACCTGAACTCTTGCATACGTGACCTCACAGATCTTCCTGGAGTTGAAAACCTCCCAATGCTGAAGATGGAATGCCTTGTACAACCTCCATGTCGCCTGCGGCGACGTCATGTTCACAAACCCATATCCCACATTGCACTTGTTGCTGTTTATACACAAAAATATCAAGTAACTAAAATTAATATTTAATGAGAACAAAAACGTTTCAAAAATTATAACATTAGAAGGGAATTACTTGAAATCAATGGGAAGGTATACGAAATCGTAGGAAGACAAGGGCTGGTCATCGCCTTGAGCAGAAATCTGCTCGTTGCAGTGAATGCAGTGGTTGTCAAGCATGTTCAGCAACAGCTTCTGACTGGAACAAGCCAAAATACGAAAGACAGTAAATATCAAATACCCATATGCACTATGCACAATATAAAGAAGATAATGTGAACAATTACTTGAAAATTTAACGAAAATTAACCAATTTTCTAGTTGACCCCAAGTAAAGAAATAGAGAGAATAAGCAGCAGGTGAGACCTGTACTTATTCGGTATGTTCTTGATCATGACAGTGGTCCGGGAATCTTTGCAATTTGCTTCCACCATGGCATCTTCGTTTATAAGAAAACGAGTATCGAACTTCTTCATTTGTTTACTCTTCCATGGCCTAATACTCCTAGACTGCTGCTGCTTTGATGACTGACAGGTTTGACTCTTCTTTAAACTCTTCCTTGGAGCCCCACATGCAACCTTCTCTTCATTTGACAAGGAAACTATTGGAGCTTCAGTGGAACCCTTGTTTATGCTGTCATTTCCTGTAGGGCTTGCCTTATTGAGATTCGATACTTTCCTCAACCCAGGTTGGATCTGGGAGACGTAAGAACGAGAAGACAAACCAGAGAAAGAACGACCAGAAAACTTTCGAGGCAATGGAGGCGGCGGAGGTGGTGGCGGCGGCGGCGGATATCTGGAATGTCGTGTAGGGTGAACGGGGTTGAAGATTGGATTGTTGTTTGTGCAAGGAGTGATAGGGGTGGTGGTGTTAGCGTTAAAGAACTTTCTACCATAGCCGCCGGGTCGACTGAATTCAATGACAACTTGCCTGCCATGAATTTCTTTTCCATTCATTTCTTTAAGAGCCTTTGCAGCATCTCTGATATCATAAAACTCCACAAATTTTTGGTGTTTCTTGAAAGGCGTCTCTCTCAGCTCCTTCACGGGACCTGGAAGCATAAATTTTTCAGTCATCAAAACCCAGATAAAGAAGAAAAGAGAGAGAGAGAGAGAGAGAGAGAGAGAGAGAAAGGCAATGGAGCGAGACAAGAACAAAATCTAAACATGAAAAGGGTCTTTTCCATTTTGTAGTGAAAAAGTCGCAACACAGTAAATAATCGAACAGGCATAGAGAGGAGAGGAAAGAGACCCATCAGATTGAACAAAACGCCTAACCCATCAATTAAGACAAAGAAGTTTCTCCAGCAAATAT